TTATTATTATTATTATTATTATTATTATTATTATTATTATTATTATAACCTGATTTTGTATAAATAAACCTAAACTTGATTTTTGAATTGGAAATGTTAAGTGCGTAATTTCCACTATTCAGATTGCGAGAAATGGGCTTCACTTTGAATTTGTAAATAGTATATTTCTGGACTTACACCCAAATAATTGATGATAGAAATAATTAACATCCATACAATTCCTCACTTCCATTTCAAGACTTAATATAGGACAGATCAAGAACAAGGAAAATTGGTATATATCTAGCTAATTTCAGTTGTGTTCATCCTTCATCATGAACATTTTTTTTGTCAAGCCACAGGCAAGAGCTTGATTAGGAATTTTCTTGACCTGTTGGACCCCTTCAGCAAAAACTACCCCCATGCCCATATGCAAATGGGGTTCTATATGACAATGAAATGCCCATGCCCCAGGATTATCTGCCACAAATCTCAGTGCTGTCCATCCATATGGAAAAACCACTGCTGTATTCCTTAATGGTGGATTCTTCAAGTTGAATTTCTCCTCATCTTTTTCAGTAAACTTCCCTTCTCCATGTCCCAAAACCCAAAAATCATGTCCATGCAAATGCCAAGGATGTATATCACTATTATTAGGCTTCAACATGTTGGCATTCTGCAGTATAACATCCACAGTAGTGTTGAAATTCAGCATGTAAACTCCACTTCCATACATCGAATTGTTATTCGGGGCAGGATTCATAATATCGTAGTCATGCCCAAAATGATCTGGCGGGATATTTCCATCAAATGCTTTGCTTATATTGTATCGGATCGAGCCTAAGTACGGTGTTGATGGAAGGACTAATGAAATGTTATTGATTGCCCACTTTGTGTATCCATCAATGAGATTTTGTGTGCTCAGTAGAATAATTCTTCTGTCATGTTTAGCTGGTGGCTTAGGGGAACCCTCAAGGGCAAGAATCTTGTTAGAAAATGCCCTGCTGTACTCATAATCATCCCACCGGGGGGCTACTGGTGGCGG